CCGCTGGGCCGCCTGGTGGCCCCGGCTGCGGGCCCCGGGCCGCGGCCTCACCTGGTCATCACCGAGCAGCCCAAGCAGCGCGGCATGCGCTTCCGCTACGAGTGTGAGGGCCGCTCGGCCGGCAGCATCCTGGGCGAGAGCAGCACGGAGGCCAGCAAGACGCTGCCTGCCATCGAGGTGGGCAGAGGGTGGTGGGGCGTCACCCCCAATCCGCGCGCACGGTGTCGGTGTTTCTGTGGTTGTTACTATGGAGGCTGCTCTGGTGCCAACGAATTTGACCCCGCTTCAAAAGGGCTGTCAATTAAGGCACCTTCCCGGCCATTTGGCTGTGTGGGAAATTCTCGTGGGCAGGAAAAGGAAACGCAGCCTCCTGGCTCATGAGCGAGACCTCAGAACCACAGTGCTGGGTTCGTATCCGGCTCTGCCTTATTAGCTGTATCACCCAGGGCAGGTCTCCCAGCCCCTCTGTGCCTCAGTTTCCTCCTCTACAAAATGGGGTAATAAGAATAATAATAACCAACCACCTAGGGCTGTGGGGAGGAGTCAAGGAGATCATTTGCTAATGTAACAGGGTCAGAGCTGGACAAAGACTAGTTGTGTTAGTATTAGTGTTATTATGGTCATCGTCACTCAAGGGCCAGACTGGGCCACTTCTTGGATTCTACCTTGTATGCCTGTATGGGTGAAAAACAGGACATACTGGGTGATCTTTTGCAGTCAGGGTTGTTGGGTGAAGAGATTGAAACTTATTGAATAAGGGATGAAGGAGATAAACAGTGAACCTCAGAACCTCTACAGCTAAAGCAATATGCCTGTGTATGTGTGCAGATAAATATAAATGCACACACATGCTGAAAGTATTTTCAATGACAGTGTTTGCCCGAATGTGAGAGTGTCTCCAAGATATATTCAAGATAAAAAAAAAAATGAGGTACAGAAACCTTCAGGGACTATTAAGCCACCTTTTGTGTTAAAAAGAGGAAGGAAATTAAGATTTTACATATTCACATATGCATATACAAATCTGGGAGGAAAAGCAAAAATAAATAAAGATTCCTGTCAAGGAGGAGAGCTGAATGGGCAAGGCATGGGTAAGACTTATAGCTACATACATCTTCGATTTGTTTCAGAAATTTGAATCACATGATATGTGGTGTTTCAGATCTTTCAAAAACGTGAAGATCCACATTAATGTGACAGAATTAAAATTCAGTCTGTAACATGAACACATGTTCCCCCACTCCTGCCCCCAGCTTCCAGCAGCCTTCCCTCCCCCAAATGTTCCCAATTTCCTGCTCTTATAGGCAGGAGAAGCCATTCAGTTCATCTCTTATTTCCTTCATGCCTGTCACTTAAGAGAAATTCTGGAAGTAGAATTGATGGCTATGACCAGTTAACTGTCCTCCTCAGGCCTGAACCCATGACTGTTTCTCCCAGCAGCTCCTGAGAGAATTGGTTCTCTGAACCTATCCAATGTGGAATCTTCACAGGCTTCACCCCACTACACCTGGCCCAAGGGGCCCTATCAACTGCTCCTCAGAGGCCAGACTCCTCCCTGTCACCGGCTACCAGTCATCTCCAAACTTCCCCTAAAGACAAGGGAGTCACAGGGTTCCTGTCACGTCCCTCCCTGGGCTCCCATGTGCCCTCTGGAGGAAGCTGGACCTCTTCCGTGGGTCCCCTTCTTGCCAGCCCCTCCTCAGGCACCACCCTCCAGCCCCTGGGTCTTTGCCATGCCCTTCTCCTGCCTGGAGTGCTTTCCTCCTGCAGCCTGGTCACACGCTGACCCCCTCAGGACGCTTTCCCTGACCCCTGCATCAGGCCCAGCACCCTCTCACCAGGTCAACCCCCTCTGTCTCTGTCTCTCTCTTTCTCCCTCTCAATGGGAATTTAACACACAGGTTTTTTTCGTGATTACCTGAGCTAGCAACATGGTGATTACAAGTTTGGGCCTTATAGTGCAAAAGGCGTGGGTTTGCATCCTTCCCTTGCTGTGGCCTCACCAGCCGTGTAATTTGTGGCAAGCCCAGCTTCTCTTGGCCTTGGCTCCCTGATTTGTGAAATGCACTGTCAAGTGGGCGTGACCAGCCCCTGCATGATGCTCCCTTTGCTTGGCTGGGTCCTTGTCTGAGTGCGTTCCAGGCATCTCGGTGTTTTCGTAGCGTGCTGGCTCTCAAAGGTTCTCTTTAGAGGGGTTTAATAGTAACTTATGGCTTCACGACGGGGGTGTAGCCTGAGCCAGGTGTTGTTGGGGGATTTCACTGTGTGAAGGTCACAGTGTGGAACCACACACACCAAGATGGCCCAGCCTGCTGGGCCACCATAGGAAACACAGTCCTTGGCTGCTGGCCATGTTATTACCCCAGTCACACTGTGCTTGAAACGTTTGTTTCCTGGTCTCTGAATTTCAGGGATGGAGCGCGTGATATGCAGTGAGGGCCATCTCATGGCCCCTTGTTTATCCTGAAGCATCTGTTTTTCCAGTTTGAGAGGGGATTTCTTTCAACTTTAGGTTCAGCCCAGCTGTTTGTTTTTTTTAAAGATTTATTTATTTGTGCATACAGAACTGGGGTACAGGCCAGAGGCTCAGGGGTGGTGAGAGGATTCACCAGAGACAGAGTGGGGAGCAGAACAGGCAGACTGATGAAGTACGCTGCTGAGGGGAGCAGTGGTTGAGTCAGGAGAGTCTGCTGCGCCATGTGGGTCACTCCCTGGCCGGGGATCAAACTCTTCCTGCAGTGGCTACAGATAGGTGGGTATTCATTCTTTCTATACTTCCAGTGATAGCTTCATAGTGCTTCGATTTAACCCCTTGTACCGTCAGAGAAGCCCTTATTTATTTATTTATCCATACAAGAATTGGGGTACAGGCCAGAGGTACAGAGAGCAAGAGGAGTCACCAGAAACAGAGTGAAGAGCAGAACAGACAGACTGACTGAAATACACTGCTGAGGGGAGCAGTGGGCGAGACAGAAGAGGTCTGCTGTGCCAACTGGGTCACCTCCCTGGTGGGTGGGGGAACTCCTGCCGAAGTGGCTGGGGGTAGCAGTAGCTAGCTTGATAGTGCTGAGATTTTAACACCTGCACCACCATGGAGGCCTTTTCTTTCAGAAAAATGTAAACCCACCTAGGTGCACCACCCAACACCCCATTCTCCCTGTGCTCTGTTCCATTATGTCTGGAGCCTCCACTTTACATACATTTCTGGAGAGAGACTTGAAAGTGAGTCAGAGACATGATGAAACTTCTCACAGAGAGTTGGTGTTTCCCTGTGTAACTCTTGAGAACAGAGACATTTTCCTAAATGTAGCACCAAGTATCATTGGAACACCAGTATCTACTGTGACCCCATAGGCTAATTTTCTCAGGTGTTCCCCAAATATCTTTTTTCATCTGCTTGTTTAATGATGTATCCAGGACCAACTTCCACTTTAAAATTTTCTTTTTATTTACTTATGCATACAAAACTGGGTACAGGCCAGAGGTGCAGGGGCGGTGAGAGGCTTCATCAGAGACAGAGTGGGGAACACAACAGGCAGATCAACAAAGTACACTGCTGAGGGGAGCAGTGGGCAGGGCAGGAGAGATCTGCCATGCCATGTGGGTCACCTCCCTGGCCAGGGATTGAACTCACACTGAGGCAGCTATGGCTAG